CACATGAGAGGGGGGAGGGTCAGAGGGAGAAGCAGACTCCCTGCCGAGCAGGGAGCCCGATGTGGGACTCGATCCAGGGTCTCCAGGATCATGACCCGAGCCGAAGGCAGTCGCTTAACCAACTGAGCCACCCAGGCGCCCTGTTTTAGCTTTTGAAACAATCTCAAAGATACAGTAAAGTTGCAGGTGTGGTACAAAGAACTTTTTTTTTTTTTCTCGTTATTTGCAAATAAATTGCCAACCTTAGGCCCGATTATCCCTGCATACTTACTTTTAACCATAATGCAACCGTCAACATTAGGAAATTGGCATTGATATATTACTATCATCTAATCCACAGATCCCAGTCAAGTTTTGCCAGTTGTTCCAATAATGTCCTTTATATTTAGGACATCTTTGAAATCTTGTCATGCTTTCTGTCATCTTTTCCTTGGGCACATGCCCATTTTGTGTTTTATATTATCATTATGTGGGCATATGTCTTATCTTTCAACTGAACTATAAATTCCTTATTATTAGGATTTTTATATTCCATGTTTAGCGTAATGGTTTGTATATAACATTCATAATAATTACTAATTAAAGAGTGACCTGTTTTTGTTCTTGGTATGGTTTTATAATTGAGGGAGGTGAAAATTGTTTATATCACCGTATTTCAAATATTGTACTTTTTTGAAAGATCAGTGTAAATATGATGATTTCAGAAATATTTCTTCAAAGATTCAGAATTACTATGTAAATAGTTAACCATTACTATTCCAGAAATATTTCATTAGATTATGTGTGATTTTTCAAAAGTAGTTTGAATTAAAATAGGAACATTCTGTTGTAGGGCAAACTGAGCATGTTTGTTTCCTTCATGTTGATGTAATTTGGAGATTATTGCCTCAAGAGCCCCTGGTGGCTAGAGAAATCTTGCCTTTTCTTAGATTACCTTGAATCTTTTGAGTGTCCATCCAGTGGACTGACAAGAAGTTTGGGCTTTCTTTTCTTAGTTGATACTGAATAATACGTACTTCGGTGAACCCAAGATGAACCCAACACCATAGAACCAGTTATAGTTTATTTTTTAGTGCACAGTGCAGATAATTTTTTCTATGTTTTTTAGTTGCTAATAGCCTGTATGTTTACGTATGACTGATAAAAATAAAGCAGCATGCTGTATGAATGTACATCTCTGGTGTACCTTGGTGGGGGTCCTTCCTACTTCCTACAGACTCTCCTCAAATTTTACAACAGTATCATGGCTAGATTAAAATATGCCATAGTTTCATTCAGCATGAGATAATATAACCATGTTTTTAATACTCTGTCCCTCCTGTCCTACTCCAAATCACACAAGGGCATACCCAGAAGAAGTTGTAGTTCTAACTACATGAAACCAATGAGTTTACTATTCCATAGGGGACTGGGATTCTACCTATTTTCGTCTACAGTATATTCGTTAGGGGCAGCCCAGCAACCCATGTAACTCTAATAGAAGTTTTGTATCTTCTAGATGCTATTTAATGGTGTTGAATGAATGAATGAAGGAATGAATGAAGGAACTCTTTGAAACAAGCTCAGCACAGGAAAATATTCAGTTTATCACGCCAGCTCCCTTCCTTGCACACTCCCGGCTTCTAATTCACCTATACATGGAGATTAAGCCATCTGATTAATATGCACCAATTTGTCTTCGTTTCTCACTACCACCTTCTCTTTATCTAAACAAATTCTAGGAATACCTTTGTGTCCTTATGTTCCAACCAGTGAGCTGTTCTCATTCTGTACTTGTTTCCTCCCCCAGCTCTCCTTTGTCAAAGCATGCTCAGATGTCCCTCAGATTTAAAAGAAAGATAAATAATTTACTCTCTTTATTTATTCATTAAATATTCATTATTTATTTCATTAAAAATATTTACATATTTTTATGTAAATGTCAAGCACTGGTGCCATGACCAGTACTCAGTAGTAATGTCTTCCGTGCTTTGATTCCTCCAGTTTTCACGATGACGCCTTCCTCTGGTTCATGTACACACACACACAGAAAGAGAGAGAAGGAAAGAGAGCAGTGCCCCCACAGATGGGCTCTGAAAACATGTAATCAGCAGGGAAAGCATCTCTGAGGAAGGGACATTTGGAGTAAAAGTAGGAGTCACCAAAAAAGGAAATGAAAGTGTTCTAAGCAGAGAGAACAGTGTGTGCCAAGATTTGGGAGCATGAAAGAGGAGTAAGCCCAGTGGGGAGAAGAAAGTATGTGTGAGTAAATAGCTCAGGAAGGAATGGGCAGGAGGAGAGATGTGGAAGCAGGCAGTGGCTAGGTTTAGCTAGGGATTTTAGGACATTTGAAGAGAATTGTGGAATTTAAAATTTTTCCCTTTAATTCTGTCAATTTTGCATCCTATATTTGGAGGCTTTCTTATTAGACCCATACACACTTAGATGTATCTTTCTGTTGAAGGTTGCATTTATCATTATGAAATTCTTTCCTCTGGTAATACTTGGTCTTGAAGTTTATTTTAACTGATACTTAAATAGCCATTCTACCATTCTGATACTTACTGTTTGCATGGGTTTTCTTGTTCTATCCATGTACTTCCAACTTAACTTTGTCTTTATGTTAGAATCACTTATGTTAGAATGTCTTGTAGGTAGTATATATTTTGGTCTTGCTTTTTTATCCACTCTGATAGTCTTTTCCTTCTTGGAACATTTAAATTGTTAACATTTAACATAATTATTGTTATGGTTGGATTTAGGTCTGTAATTTTTTGTTTGTCCCTTGGCTGTTGTCCTCTGTCC